AGGAGAACTCCTGACGGCTGCGACTGCCAGCGATGTTGAGTATGGACTCGCCCAGACGGGGGAGGACTGTTGCGATGTGTTAGAATTTAAAGAGATGTCGGATAGAAGAGATTTATGTTCTGTGAATACATTTAATTCTGTTTTAGTAGGGAAACATTTTTACTGGCACGGCAATGAAAATTGCAAGTTTGGGGGAGTTGATGGAAGGACTTCGAGGCCAGGGAAGAAGTTAATGGAGGAAACTTCGAGGCTGGAGAAGTGAATGCTGAACTCTGTGGGAGAGCAGAACCCCATAATGAGGAGTGACATCAAGCAGTGTGGAGCAGCAGTGAAGAGTTTCACGTGTCTGTGGGATCAGTGGTGAAGCATCACTGGTGTTTGATGAGAACGTCATTGTGCAGCAGTTGGGAGGATTGCAGAAGAGCCTTGTTGACTATTTTGGAGAGCCTAGAGGTATACATGGTAGTGAGCCTCCAGGAGCAAAACAGAGGTTCATAGTGATCACACACAATGTATAAGGAGAGTGCTTGAATGCTTATTAGCGTGTAAGACACAGTGTAAGGTGAGAGATTAGTTTATTTGTGTGTTGGGGAATATTTATGCAGGTGTTTCTGGTGTTTCAGCCATAGGCTGAGTTTTATATATTTTTGGGCTGATTGTACAATATTATAACGAGGAGATTTAACCCCCACTTAGTGAGGGAGTAGTAAGCCAAGAGTTGAGCAGCCATTTGATATGGATGGTTAGTGAAGCCAGGGCATGATATTGGATGGCTACCTGGGTTGTAGCAGCTTAGTGTTGTAAGTCAATATTTTCACTTCTTTTTATGTACTGTTGTATATGTTCTTTTGTTTATTAAATGTATACTGTTAGCTGGCTTTTGTTCTTGTCCTAGTGAGGCTTCCCAGAAAGCAGGCGAGAGAGAGAGAGAAAGGGTCACAGCTGCGGACAGGGTGACAGAATTCTAATTCAGAAAGGGGGAATTAGGAGATTCCAAACAAGGAGAGTGGTGGGGAGTCACGGCGGCTCAAGTAGGGTGTGTGGACAGGACAACGAAGCCAGTGCTGGAGCCGCACCCCTAGATATGTGATGCTGAGCCCTTCTCCATGGTCAAGAGGCGTACAGGGTGATCTGAGAAAACTTCAAGCGCTCTAAAGTTCATTGCTGGTTGACCGACGGTAGCGGGAGTGTGGCTGCCGAGGTCGGTTGTCTGTTCCGACAGAGTGGTTGGGGGACGTTGTCTACCTGTACGCGAACAGTCTGGTACAGTAACCAGAGCTCTCTTTGGAGGTTTAAGTTCCGTAAGCCCCAACCCCCTCAGGTCAGGATGCACCCCCACACTGTCACCCCCCCCCCACTGTCACCCCCACACTGTCACCCTCCCATGCTGTCACTCCCCACACTGTCACCCCCTCACTGTCACCATCACACTGTCATCCCTACACTGTCACCCCCTCACTGTCTCCCCACACTGTCACCACCAAACTATCACCTCCCACACTGTCACCCCCCACACTGTCATCCCCTCAATGTCACCACCACACACAATGTCACCACTACAATGTCACGCCAGTAGCCTGGTGGATAGCGCGCAGGACTCGTAATTCTGTGGCGCGGGTTCGATTCCCGCACGAGGCAGAAACAAATGGGCAAAGTTTCTTTCACCCTGAATGCCCCTGTTACCTAGCAGTAAATAGGTACCTGGGAGTTAGTCAGCTGTCATGGGCTACTTCCTGGGGGTGGAGGCCTGGTCGAGGACCGGGCCGCGGGGACACTAAAGCCCCGAAATCATCTCAAGATAACCTCAAGATAACCCCACACTGTCACCACCTTACAGCAGCCTTTCCTTCAAAGCGCTGTTGTTGACCACTAGGGAAGTCCAGAGTTGTAGAACAATAAACCTGCAGGTCTTGAGGCCCTCACACCTCCTCCCCACCAGCCACAGAGCGCCAGTGTCTTAATTTTTGTCCTTCCTCACTCCCCCCCTCGCCCGTACCCCTGCTGCCCTCCCCGGAGGGCTCCCTGCTGCCCTCCCCGGAGGGCTCCCTGCAGCCCTCCCCGGAGGGCTCCTCGCAGACTACTTTTCCTTGCGTTTACCTTTCTCTCAATTTCCCCATCAATCTGGCCGACCTTTTGAAGTCAACTCTCGAAGCATAGAGAACCACTCAGGGGTCTCCCGGGCAATGCCATTTGAGGCACTCTTGGCTTCTTCTTGATCATCAGGACCTTCAAATATTAGCTTCCTGTGGCTCCTTTATGTTAGTATTCCATTTTCTTCGGCGGCTGGAGCCATCGACTGCTGGCAACAGGAGGTGTGCTCGTATATATATCACTCTGATATCTATATCTATAAAAGATAATGTCTTTTTAGCTGTTTGTGACAGAGGTTCGGGGACATGTGCTATGGCTTGGCCTCATGAAATATAAATGGTGATGTTTGACTGTATGGGGAGTGTCATAAGAGGTGGACCATCAATACTCATATTTTAATAGAAGTGGCTTCTTTTGCGACAACTCAAATGACTCCTGTGAAGTAAAAAGGTGGTTCGGTTTCCATGGAATGTTCCTTAGATTTTCAGCTCTTCATCGGACACACGACATTATCACAACGTTGATACAACGTCACATGCAAGTAACAGGAGTAAAAATGGTGTTGGGTTTACACACTGTGTGTTTACCAACACATATACTGAATCTTCTGAGGGAGAGATAGAACGGAAAGAAAGGAGAGAAAATGGGAGATAGAGGGAAAGGGAGGGAGGGAGGGAGAGTGTGAGAGCGAATGTGAGGGGAAGAATGGCAGAGTACATGACGGAGGGAGGACAGAGAACGAAGGAGAAAGGGAACGAGATAGAACAAGAAGGAGGGAGGAAGAAAGAGAGAGAGAGAGAACAGGTGGGAAAGGAAATTATCAGGAAAAAGACCCCAAGGCATCAATTATGACTATATAGCACCGGGATGGGATCAGGATATTGATTTAGGATGGGACGGGGGGAAGGAATGGTGCGCAAGCACTTGGACGGTCGGGGATTGAACGCCGACCTGCATGAAGTGAGAAGGCATGAAGTGAAGGTATGATAACAAAACACTAAACCGTCTACAGTGATAGTAGTCATATCCAGTGGCCTCTCAGATGAGCTGGTTGATGCTTGGGTCACAACTTCCAGCTTTGACAGTCTTCCTCTACCCACACAGAATGAATTAAATAATATATCTGCGCTGATAGAGCAAGGCTCCTTAACTTCATGCTCCATCAAGAGGATGACTGTGACATACTTTTTACTGAATATGAACTAGACTCTGCTCTACATAAAGGCAAAGCAACATCAACCCGAGGAGGATGGAGTTACTTACGGCATACTACGTATGCTTCTGCTAGTGCCTGGGAATCCCTTGCTTGATTGTATAATATGAGCTATGTAACTGGGGAGCTTCTAAAGTCTCGGACCAACAGCCTTATTATTCCCATTCCTAAACCTAACCAGCAGTGTGCTTTTCGCCCAGTCTCCCTCACTAGTTGTCTTTGTGTCTAGAGAGGATGGTTCTAAACCGTCTAAACCTTTACAGAATTGGTAACTTGTTGTCTCCCCAGATATATAGCCCAACCACTTGGGCTGAGCACTGTGTCTTCACCGACGGCTCAGTCCAATCTTCTACTGGACGGACTGCAGCAGCATGTTGGTTTTATAAAAATAATATTTGCACAAAGACTGTCAGTGTCAGGTTAAACAACTGGCTGACCTCCACACAAGCAACACTAGCGGCACTACACCTACCTACCAGTACATTATAAAACATTGGAGGAGGAATAATATTTTGTTATTCAAAGTCTGCTCTTTAAACAATTGAAAACTTCTCCTGGAAGATCGACAGCAAGAACGTCATACTACCAATTATATGTGACCTAATCGCTGCACAGAGTAAAGGGTATCGAATCTTCTTTGTATGGATACCTTCACACATAAATATAACCCATCTTAATGACACTGATTGCAGCCAAATTAGCGTGTAACAAAGATAAAGTTGAATTAGATCTAGGTATCCCCATCTCTACTGTCAAACCTATATTGTTCCAAACACTCAGGTCTGATAGAACACGAACGACTGACTCCACCCGACCTGAAAACACCAGTATAAAAAGCTGGTTCTGACATGTTCAGATTCCAAACCTATGTTTATGGGCAGCACAAAACGTCCACCAGACTGTGCGACACAGTGGTTGCCAGGATCAGGTTGGGTTACCATTACCTGTGGTAGGTGGCTGCAGGTGACGGATCTCCCAATCCTGAGCACTCAAGGTGCAAACTCTGTGAGCAGGAACTGCGGCATGATCTTCCGCACTACATCACCGAATGCCCAGTTATTAGACCATTCAGACCAGTTGGCATGAGGTACTTGGAGCTTTATAATTACTTTATTCACTCGTGTTCTTGAAGATATCCTCATAATGCCCCCAGAGTCTGCCAGTGTAGAAAGCTTATCACATGCCTCTGTATGACTAACCATCCTGTGTGATGGGGATTTTTTGCATCACGTAGCTAGTTTGAGACACACTGTACTCCCCTTCATATAGTCTAGGGCAGTCGCACAAATGCAAATGTACCTAAATGTGTTAATAAAAAATAAAAATGCTATTATCGAAGATGAATCAACATAGGCAACGTTGATTCACCGCCGATAGCATAGATTCAACGTTACGCAAGCATGTTCTGCCCAGTGGGAGAGAGATGGGGAGGAAGGAACCTTGCACATGACGTCCTCCTATCCTGGAGGATAGGAGGACGTCATGTGCAAGTCCTCCTATCCTCCGTCGACCGTGCAGACGATAGTCTGCACATTCACTACAAATACCCTACATATACCATGCTCTTATACGCTTCACATACCCTTCACATACCCTGGGCACGTACCCTGGGCACGTACCCTGCACACGAATGCTGAACCTTACAGCCTTTCCACCTTGCAAGCGTTGTGTTCAATCATACACGAACGTTCATTCATTACTCACAGAGGCAGAGCCCAACTCTGCAATAAGTAAAACGCTCTAATTGAAGCGTGTTGCATTGTTGACGTGACCGCCGCCCACGCCTGCTTGCCCTGGCCGCCGCCCGCGCCTGCTTGCCCTGGCCGCCGCCCGCGCCTGCTTGCCCTGGCCGCCGCCCACGCCTGCTTGCCCTGACCGCCGCCCGCGCCTGCTTGCCCTGACCGCAGCCCGCGCCTGCTTGCCCTGACCGCCGCCCGCGCCTGCTTGCCCTGACTGCCGCCCGCGCCTGCTTGCCCCGACCGTCGCCCACGCCTGCTTGCCCTGACCGCCACCCACGCCTGCTTGCCCTGGCCGCCGCCCGCGCCTGCTTGCCCTGGCCGCCGCCCGCGCCTGCTTGCCCTGGCCGCGCCCGCGCCTGCTTGCCCTGGCCGCCGCCCACGCCTGCTTGCCATGCCCACCGCCCGCGCCTGCTTGCCCTGGCCGCCGCCCGCGCCTGCTTGCCATGCCCACCGCCCGCGCCTGCTTGCCCTGGCCGCCGCCCGCGCCTGCTTGCTCCTGACCGCCGCCCGCGCCTGCTTGCCCTGGCCGCCGCCCGCGCCTGCTTGCCCTGGCCGCCGCCCACGCCTGCTTGCCATGCCCACCGCCCGCGCCTGCTTGCCCCTGGCCGCCTCCCGCGCCTGCTTGCCCTGGCCGCCGCCCACGCCTGCTTGCCCTGGCCGCCGCCCGCGCCTGCTTGCCCTGGCCGCCGCCCGCGCCTGCTTGCCCTGACTGCCGCCCGCGCCTGCTTGCCCTGGCCGCCGCCCGCGCCTGCTTGCCCCTGACCGCCGCCCACGCCTGCTTGCCATGCCCACCGCCCGCGCCTGCTTGCCCTGGCCGCCGCCCGCGCCTGCTTGCCCTGACTGCCGCCCGCGCCTGCTTGCCCCTGACCGCCGCCCGCGCCTGCTTGCCCTGACTGCCGCCCGCGCCTGCTTGCCCTGACCGCCGCCCGCGCCTGCTTGCCCTGGCCGCCGCCCGCGCCTGCTTGCCCCTGACAGCCGCCCGCGCCTGCTTGCCCTGACTGCCGCCCGCGCCTGCTTGCCCTGGCCGCCGCCCGCGCCTGCTTGCCCCTGACCGCCGCCCACGCCTGCTTGCCATGCCCACCGCCCGCGCCTGCTTGCCCTGGCCGCCGCCCGCGCCTGCTTGCCCCTGACTGCCGCCCGCGCCTGCTTGCCCTGACTGCCGCCCGCGCCTGCTTGCCCCTGACCGCCGCCCGCGCCTGCTTGCCCTGACTGCCGCCCGCGCCTGCTTGCCCCTGACCGCCGCCCGCGCCTGCTTGCCCTGACTGCCGCCCGCGCCTGCTTGCCCTGACCGCCGCCCGCGCCTGCTTGCCCTGGCCGCCGCCCGCGCCTGCTTGCCCCTGACCGCCGCCCGCGCCTGCTTGCCCTGACTGCCGCCCGCGCCTGCTTGCCCCTGACCGCCGCCCGCGCCTGCTTGCCCTGACTGCCGCCCGCGCCTGCTTGCCCCTGACCGCCGCCCGCGCCTGCTTGCCCTGACTGCCGCCCGCGCCTGCTTGCCCTGACCGCCGCCCGCGCCTGCTTGCCCTGGCCGCCGCCCGCGCCTGCTTGCCCCTGACCGCCGCCCGCGCCTGCTTGCCCCTGACCGCCGCCCGCGCCTGCTTGCCCTGACTGCCGCCCGCGCCTGCTTGCCCTGGCCGCTGCCCGCGCCTGCTTGCCCTGGCCGCCGCCCGGGCCTGCTTGCCCTGGTCACCGGGCGCGGCCTCGCCTTGTTCTTTGTGGCTGCCTCAACACAGCTATTTTTATATATATATATATATATATATATATATATATATATATATATATATATATATATATATCCACATATCTATCCATATATCCTTTATTCATATATCCATCAGTTGTTTCCATATATTTAACCATCCATCTATACCCAACTATCCATCCTCCCAATTATCCATCAATCTTTCTATCCATGCTCCTATTCATCCATTTATCCATCTAATTATTCCTTTACTCATCCATTTATGTATCTCGTTATCTATCCACCTATTCATATATCCTTCAATCTATTCCTTCATCCATTTATCAATCCAATTTTCCATCTATCCAGATATCTATATATCTATTCACGTAGCTGTCTTTGTATATATCATCTATTCATTCATCAATCCACCTATCCATTCATTTATCCATCTATCATTCTATTCATCCATGTATCATTCTATCCATCCATCTATTCACCCATCTTTCTATCCATCTATCAATACATTTACTTATCTATCTATCTATATCTATCCATCCATTCTTCAGTCTGTTCATCTTTCATTGTCTCTATCCATTTATCTCTCCATCTCTCCCCTTATCCATCATTCTATCTATCCATCTATTCATCCATATATCTTGATCCATCCATCAGTGCATCCATCTATCCAACTATCTATCCATCTATCTAACTATCCATCCATCTAACAATCCATCCATCTATTCCTCTATATTTTTATTTATCTATTCATCTAAATATTTCTCTATTAATTGATCTATCTATCCATCTTTCCATCCATCTCTATATCTATCCAATACTCTACTCATCAATCCACCCATCTTTCTATTCACCACTTCATCCATCTACTCGTCTATCTATCCAACACTTCATCTTTCTATTCATTTATTTATTTATCCATCTATGCATCTACCCAACCATTTATGCATCTACCCAACCATCTATTAATCTAACCAACCATCTATTAATCTACCCAACTATCTATTAATCTACCCAACTATCTATTAATCTACCCAGCCATCTATGCATCCATCTATCTATTGCCTGTCTGTCAGTCTCTGTCCTTGTCTGTCTGGCATGTGTTTCTGTCTCTTTCTCTCTTACAAACAGATAACTGTCTCACGTGAGGGTTGGTCGCTGGTCAAAGGCGAGGTTAAGATCTGAAATTCCCCACGAGTGTAATAGTGCCCCCCCTGCCCCCCCCCCCCCCCCCCCCGCTACACTATGAAGGGGGCCGTGTCTTGATAAACATTTTAAGGCAGCGGGATATCACCGCCCACGGGGTGGGTATGGGGTGCATAATAATGACAGGCATAGAAAATGGGGATGATCGTGTCTGTTTTGTGTGAGTACGGGCAAATTATGGCTATTATGAAATTTATGTTATTTCTTTGTGGTCGGTGAATATGACAATAAGATTTTTTTTTGGTTAATGTTTGTTTTCAAAATATTTAGTTGAGTAGTTGGCGGGTAGTGCCAGTGATCGTGGTGGGGGTCTGAATGTGACTCTGGCGTGCTGTTCTCTTATGAGTTATGGCGACCCCCGACCAGCCTATGTTCATCCCGTACCTCAGACCATTCACACACCATTTGGGTGAAGCAAGCCTTTCTAAGCAATCTATTTTTTCTCTGTTATGTCTACTATATATATTTCTCTCTAACACACACATTCACACACACACACACACATCCCCAGGAAGCAGCCCGTAGCAGCTGTCTAACTCCCAGGTACCTATTTACTGCTAGGTGAACAATGACATCAGGTAAAAGAAACTGTCCGTTTGTTTCCGCCTCGGGCGGGAATCGAACCCGGGTCCTTAGAACTACGACCCTCAAGCGCTGTACACTCAGCCGTGAGGCCCCGCGAGTGTGTGTGCGCGTGTGCGTGCACGCGCGTGCATCAGAGCGAGCACCATTACCCAACACAAGCGTCGATCACCCACCACCAAACGCGTCATCATTGCCGTAAATGCAAATGGAATAATTGTCCAACTGCAATTACGTCCAGATAATGTTTTTAAATTGGAGTTCGAATATTATACAGTCAGGACATTACAGTGAAAAAAGGGGGGCGGAAGGGGGAGGGGGAGGGGCGGTCGACCCCACTGTTGGTGAAGGCTTTTTGTACCTGCTGTATTACGGGTCACTGCTCACGAGTCCGGAGGTAGGTAGGGTAGTTATCTGGAGAAATCGCTAGGTCAGTATGAGGGTGAAGCACTGGGACCGGGTATGAAGACTATAGGAGCTGAGATATGAGGACGGAGTGAGGGGGTGCCTAGCCACTCGGGTTATCGGGGATCGAACGCCGACCGTGCAAGAAGCAACACCGGCGATATACCGGAACAGTCCAAGTGTATTTACGGGTCTTGAATCAGTAACCTTGAATCAAATGAGAGTGTTAATGAGTTAGAAAGTTAAGGTTTCAGTGACCTGGGGACATGAGTTTATGAAGCACGAACCATCGTTGTGTCTCACTTTGTGTCACTGTGTTACACAGGTCCAGGTTCGAGGCTCTCGATCACAGCTGTTTAGCGTCACATACAAAGAGAGGGAATTATCAGGAGAAAGCACTAAGCCAGTACAACTATATTGCTCTTGGGAGGGATACGAGGATAAGGATTTAGGATGAGACGGAATGGTGCCCAACCACTTCGACGGTCGAGGAATTGAACGCTGACCTGCAAGAAGCGGGGCCGCCGCTATACCGCCCAGTCCAAGTGGTTGGTTATGAAAAGACGAAAATTTATTGAACAACGAATCTGATCCATACTTACAGCAGAATACAATAATACAGGGAACTGCAGAAGGTCTACATTGGTCCATACAGGCAGCTCCTTGTTTAACATGTTACTGTATTGTCTAATACATGCTGAAGCCATGGCCCCCCCCCTCCGTGGGCCACACTTCAGTTGATACATTGTAGTCAGATGATTAGTAATGTGGCTAAATGGTTCTCCTATACACCTCCCACTGGTATATAAGGTACGGGGGAGGGGTGGTTGGGGTGAGGGTAGTGCCAGGGATAGTCTCTATCCTCCCCCCTCCTCTTGACCCCATTCACTCTTGAACCCCCTCCCCCCATTTTCCCAATTCCCTTCGTCCCTCTTCTCCCCCCTTTCTCTCCTTCGTCCCCCTTCCCTAATGCTTCCCCCCCCATCTCCCCTTAGTTCTCCCCCTCCCATGCCTTCTCTCAGAAAATGTATTGTTAAGAAGTTCAGAAACAGCTGTACGAGTCTCGTCCGCCCCCTCTCCCCTCCCACCGCACATTCGTCCTCCCCTCTCCTTGCCCCTTTGCTTCCCACTCTCCCCTACCCCCCCTTGGTCCTACACCCCTCTCTCCCTTCCCTCTTTCCCTCTCTTTCCTTTCCCTCACAAAATGGTTTATTAAATAGGACAGAAAAAACTGTATGGGTCTACTATCTTTCCCATCCTTCTCCCCCATTTCCTCCCTATCCCCCACTACCTCCCTCTCTCACATCAGTTTGCCCCCCCCCTACCACCTATCTCCTCCTCACCCCCATTCCCCACTTCCACCTCTTCCTATTCTCTCCGAAAATATATGATTATCAACATGTGCGGGTAAACGGCGGGAGAATAACTTCACTCTCGACAAATATCACATTCCAGACTTCATCAGGGAAAAAATGTCAGACTTCACGAACATCGCGAAGCAGTCACATATATATATATATATATATATATATATATATATATATATATATATATATATATATATATATATATATATATATATATATATATATATATATATATATATATATTAGTATATTTTGGTAGCAGTCTTTCCTGTAGACATATATTATTAAATATGACCGAAAAAGTAAGATTAATAATTCTAACACGAATTTTCTCGATCTTTCTTACGTTTCTTTTCACTGTTGATGGTAATTCAAAGATCAATTCTCCAAAATTCATTTTTATTTCTAGTCTGACGCGACACTTGAGCGCGTTTCGTAAAACTTATTACATTTTCAAAGACTTTAGTTTACAAACACACAACTGAAACTGAATAGAGCTTACACATCTTCGATTTTATATCTACATTTGGGTGAGGTGGATGAGGTGAAAACAAACTTTCAACAATGGGTATTGAATGGGTATTAAATTCAAACACAAGACAGAACACGAAACAATGGGTATTGAATGGAAGTAATTGTAGAAAGCCTATTGGTCCATATTTCTTGATGCTTCTATATTGGAGCGGAGTCTTGAAGTGGGTAGAATATAGTTGTGCATTAATTGGCTGTTGATTGCTGGTGTTGACTTCTTGATGTGTAGTGCCTCGCAGACGTCAAGCCGCCTGCTATCGCTGTATCTATCGATGATTTCTGTGTTGTTTGCTAAGATTTCTCTGGTGATGGTTTGTTTGTGGGAAGAGATTATATGTTCCTTAATGGAGCCCTGTTGCTTATGCATCGTTAAACGCCTGGAAAGAGATGTTGTTGTCTTGCCTATATACTGGGTTTTTTGAGGCTTACAGTCCCCAAGAGGGCATTTGAAGGCATAGACGACGTTGGTCTCTTTTAAAGCGTTCTGCTTTGTGTCTGGAGAGTTTCTCATGAGTAGGCTGGCCGTTTTTCTGGTTTTATAGTAAATCGTCAGTTGTATCTTCTGATTTTTGTCTGTAGGGATAACGTTTCTACTGACAATATCTTTCAGGACCCTTTCCTCCGTTTTATGGGCTGTGGAAAAGAAGTTCCTGTAAAATAGTCTAATAGGGGGTATAGGTGTTGTGTTAGTTGTCTCTTCAGAGGTTGCATGGCGTTTCACTTTCCTTCTTATGATGTCTTCCACGAAACCATTGGAGAAGCCGTTGTTGACTAGGACCTGCCTTACCCTACAGAGTTCTTCGTCGACTTGCTTCCATTCTGAGCTGTGGCTGAGGGCACGGTCGACATAAGCGTTAACAACACTCCTCTTGTACCTGTCTGGGCAGTC